GTGCCTAGGAGCTTTCCCTAAACCATGGCCATCCTAATCTGTACATTTTTTTTTCAAGACATAGTTAGTCTCTTTTGAAAGTTCTCTCAACAAAAAAGTTCAGGTTTCAAGCCTCTAACAAAGCAAGCGTCCTTCATTGTGAATCACAGTTTACAACAGGGTTCATAAGATTTGCATCAGAGAGAAAGGGATACCTCAAACAAGCCGTAATGGGAGATATAATCCAGCAGCTCTGAATGGGATTGGGGTCCACCCAAGCTGGGGTGAACAGAGAGTGGGGACCCAATCTCTAACTAACAACATTTCTCCAGCATGAAAATGAAGCATCAACTTCGTTAGCCCTGGGCCTTCATTTTTCCCCTTCCACATTATAACTAGTTATTGAACTCGCTGGAAGATCTAAAGGCCATTTGCGAAGAGACAAATTTCAATGGAGTTTCCCCATCAATAACCCCATGGCAGTGACCTATTGGAGCAAGTCAAACACCCGAGGTGAAATGCAGGTCACCCTGTCTAACCAATATTAAAATGTGGCCACTTTTTAAAAAGCCACTTTAAACGAGATTTGAGGAAAATTGAATTCCAAGGAAGGCAAGGCAGGGGAGAGCCACAAGAGGACCTTGCTTATGGTCTCTGAACAAACAAGAGAAATTCATCTTTAATATTTTAAAGGGGGCAAATTAACATTCTGTCATTGCGGGTTCCTTTCCTTTCCTTTCCTTTCCTTTCTTTTTCTTTTCTCTCTCTCTCTCTCTTTTTTTTTTTGAGACTATAAGCAATTCCAGGAAGGGGAAAAAAGGTTGAGTATTTTCTAGTGGCACAACCAGGTTATTAAAATCATTTTAGGCCAATTTATTACTTTTACTGACAAGATATTTTAAAAAAATCAATTAAGCATTTGCATATTCTTTTGCATACATTAGTCCTGCCTGCTGGCTTTAGGAAAGAACAAAAACATACATGTGCCCATGTACACACAGAAAGATACACAAAGAAAAAAAATGGTACAAGACTCTTGTTTTAGTTTGGGGTTTTCAAGTTGCCTGGGGGAGAAAAAAATCAAAATGGAATGAATTGCCTGATTGCATACCATCTAAAAGTCAATTTATTTGAGGAAAAGGAAAGAAGCATGCTTTAATTTTTAATCCCTAAAACAATAACAAAGCCCATGCATTATAAAAGAAAGAAAGAAAACCAAGCCCTGTACTTCAGAGAGTGGAGAAAAGAGACCTTAATTTTCCTTCTTTTACAGTCTCAATCATGACTTGTTTCTTTCATTTATTTTATTTGCTCCTCGGAAAATTCAGGGAGTGTGAGGCGGGATTTTCCTGCAGCACAGAATCTGTAGAGTCGCTGAGGTATCTCAGCCAACATCTTGTTACTGGGGAGGGAGGAATATGGGTTAGCCAACGGTCAGTATGGTAATCGGGCACAATAAGGCCTCTCACAACAATGGACACGTATTTTTCTTCAGTGGTGTCAGAAGGGAAGCGCTTTGTACTGAAACATGTTTCCGAAAGAGAAACCAGATCGAGATTTAGAAAGGAGATGGGGTGTGGGGCAGCATGCAGAGAGCATTTGGATGCTGGCGAGAGGTGGTCAGAAAACAGAAAGAATAAAACTGGGACCAAGCAAAGTCGAGGGCAGAACCTTTGGGCTGGCGAGGCAGGAGGCAGGAGAGGAAAGCACAATGGGAGACAAGACCAAATACAAGCATTCTTCACTGAGAAGGGGCCCTCTCCCACACCAGTTAAGCCCCTGCTAAATGTAAGAGACCTCCACAGGAAAACAGTCCTGTTTGTACCAATGTTCAGGTAAACACCGTCTGTGGGTACCAGCTCATGTGACAGGGAGCTCCCTTCTCTTAGTTACAGGAGCCCCAAAGGATTTTTGTTTCTTATTTGGTTTTATTTTTATTATTTTTTAGATGATGTAGATGAGAGTGGACATATTTGAGGAAATTTCATAGATTTTACTTTCTGGTTACTCATGCTGAATTAGCTCTATTTATTAATGGCTGCATAAAAGGCATTTAATATTTTAACAAATATTGTACATACATATATGGTATGTATTTGTTAACCATATTAATCAAAGACAGACTGGGCATTCAGTGTGAGGCATCTGAACCTGTGTCTGTCCATGGACTCACCGGCAGAAGCTGAGAAATCTAGGAGGTTAGGGGCATGTGCGCTGACAGGCGGTATCTTGGGAAAGGCACCTTAGTAAGTTCAAGAAGGTTAAAGCTGAAGGCTGAGGTGGGAGGCAGGGCTGGGATAGGGGACAGGAATGGGGCTGGGAGAAGGGTAGGCAAGCGGAAGCTCACCTTTGCAGGTGGGAAAGGGGATATTCACAGCTGGAGCAGAGCGAGGCCGCACAGGCCTGAAAAGGGGTAAGCTGAAGGGCTGAAAGAGTTCTATTTTTCCTCACTCTTTCTACCCTACCACTGCTCTCTGGGGCTTTGGATTCCCCATGAGACAATTTGGGGCTGTTGCTCAGATCTCTGCAGAGTGGGGACTTAGTAATAGCTTCCCTTTACCCACCTTCAGCAACTTGTAGTTCACTCTCACCAGCAACAACCGAGAGACAGAGAGACAAACACAGAGCAGACACACACACACACACACACACACACACACAGAATAAAAGAAATTCTGCATCTGCACACAGCTCCCAGGCAGCCACAGCTTTGTGCCTGCTCCCTCTCACAGCTGTAGCTCCTCTTCAAACACACAGCCAGTCTCCACACTCAGGATTCAGGTCCAAGTGAGCAAGGATTCTCCAAAAGCTTTGGGAGTTTGGGAGTCTCCTGTAAGAGATGTTGACCTCCAAGGAATTTCTGTTCCCTTACCCAGCTGATGGGGAGATGTCTCTTGGGGAGAGGGTATCTAGGACTTTGAAGCACCAAGTCATGGGGGCCAAGCTCTAGTGAACCTGGGCTGGGCCCTGAGTATGGGAGCAGAGAAGGCAGCCAGGGCCCAGGGATTTGCTTGTGGCTCCCTCCCCATTCCAGCCCTCCAAATGAGCACTGATTTGGAAGTGGGGACCTTCTCCCACATCCCAAAGGTGGTGAAAAGGAATGTGGGGAGTCTCCTGTTTTCAGTATCTCTCTCAAGGGGCTTTATTTATTTTTCTCTTTCCCCTCCTCATTCTCTTAATTGCAGATGTTCTAATTAAACCCTCAAATAGTTGTTATGCTGTTTTAAAAGGTACTTATTCAAGTGTCAACCAGGCTGGGCTGGGAGGAAGCAGCACAGGGTGGCGAATTAAAGGTAGATTGACTAATCACGGCGGCGATCATAATAATAAAATCAGAGGGAAAAAAATCACATTACGACTTTTGGTGGAAAGGAGGGAGCAGGCAGCCAGCGGCCGCCAGCACAAAGACTGATTTATGACGTTTTACAGCCCTATAAAAGCTGTAGCGACGAGGCAAGCGCTCCTACCACCGCTGGCAGATTTAGTCTAATAAATAAAACATAAACAGTTAACTTTATGTGTCACTTTTATTGTTATCAAGTAAAATATAGCCGAGTCCCGGCAAGCTATGATTTTAAACTATAATTGTTATCAAGTACAACAAGGGGACCTGGCTCCCTCCCTGGGCTTCCCCTCTGCCGCCCCCCACCAACTCTGAGTTATAGAAGATCAGTTAATTGGTGTCCGATGAAGAGGCCACCCCTAGCTGTAGAACCAACGGCTAGAAAACTATCCTCCCCCTTCGCCCCCCTTCTCTTCCCAGGCGTCCCACCTCCCCTGGGGGTATTCTGTGGAGGGGTGACGGAGGGGAGAGGGATGCTGTGAGAATAGGCCCTGGACCCTGCCCTGTCTCCAGAGCTTAGTTCTCTCACCTCTCTGCTTTTGGAAGGCAGCCTGGAGCTGGCCTTGGGGAATATGTGTTTACATGTAAACACACGTGTTATAAGGGAAACAGTTTGGGAATCAAACAGGCTCTACCCAAACAGGCCTCCCTTGAGGGTAAGACTTGAAGGAAAAACTCTCAGAGCCTCGGTTGATCCCCACTTCAGGACACTGCTGGAAGAGACCTCTCTCTCCTTCTCTCTCTCCCTCTCTCTCCCGAGCAGCTGGGGGGGGGGGCAGCCTGTTGTGAGAAGTCAGCCGGCCAGAGAGCCAGGAGTCACACAGGAGCCACCGGGAGGAGGTACCCTCTGTTCTGGAGCCTGGGCCGGGAAGGACAGTGGGTAGCAGGGAAGTCAAGGTTTCTGAAATCCGCTTTTGCCAACCACTTCCTGTCTCTCTTCAGCGGGGGCTCAAGCCCTAGACCTCCAGAAATGACGTCAGGATCGCTTGCATCCCGCTGCCTCAGCCTGCCTAGTACTGCTGGGACCCTGTCTCCAAGGCCCCTTGGCCAAGAGGGTTGGGTGAGTGTGTCTGGGGGAGGGAGCCGGACTTGAGGATCCTTGGATGGGGTAGGGCACCCCAGGCTCTCCAGCCTCGTAAGCTCAGCCTGGGCCCCTCCCCATCCAACCTCCACTGAAGCTCCCGTGGACCGTCCTCTTCCTGCGAAAGAGAGGCGCTGCCCCGTGACCTGCGCGGACTGCAAGGCGATTGCTATAATGGAGCCCACTGGAAAGGCTCTGGAGCCGAGCGCACGGGGCGCTGGAGGCCCGAGAGGAGCCCCTGGGCGGGGGCCGAATCGCAGCCTCCCCACAGCCCCCAGTGCCCAGGCTTTGAAGCCGGGAGCCTCCACAGCCCTTTGCAGGGAAGGATCGTCAGTCTGGTGGGGAGTGAAGTGGCGGGCACCCCAGTTAAGCCAGCCACCCCCCCCCCCCCCACCCCGCCCCCCAGCAGCAGCACCACACACACAAAAAATTGGATACATTTTGAATAAAGCGATTCGGTTCCTTATCCGGGGACTGGGTCGCTCGGTGTGATTGGCCGGCGGAGTCACATGGTGAAAGTAACTTTACAGGGTCGCTAGCTAGTAGGAGGGCTTTATGGAGCAGAAAAACGACAAAGCGAGAAAAATTATTTTCCACTCCAGAAATTAATGATCATGAGCTCGTATTTGATGGACTCTAACTACATCGATCCGAAATTTCCTCCATGCGAAGAATATTCGCAAAATAGCTACATCCCTGAACACAGTCCGGAATATTACGGCCGGACCAGGGAGCCGGGATTCCAGCACCACCACCAGGAGCTGTACCCACCACCGCCTCCGCGCCCTAGCTACCCTGAGCGTCAGTATAGCTGCACCAGTCTCCAGGGGCCCGGCAATTCGCGAGCCCACGGGCCGGCCCAGGCGGGCCACCACCACCCCGAGAAAGCGCAGCCGCTCTGCGAGCCGGCGCCTCTCTCAGGCGCCTCCGCCTCCCCGTCCCCAGCCCCGCCAGCCTGCAGCCAGCCAGCCCCCGACCATCCCTCCAGCGCCGCCAGCAAGCAGCCCATAGTCTACCCTTGGATGAAAAAAATCCACGTTAGCACGGGTAGGCAACTTTGCTTTTCGCCCCCTCCCCTCTTCCCGGCGCTCCCCACCCTCCCCGGCCCCCTCTGGCCCGGTCCTCCTTTCTCTCCTTCCCCCTCTCTCTCCAGGAGCGACTCTGGGTTAGCACAATTGAACTGGATTTACGAGCGAGAATGGGTAATTACATCCCCCATAAATTTTATGGCTTAGCTACTCTGGGCAGTCCGAGCCATGTGCTACGATCTGTTATGTATGTGTGAAAACTATGCTCGCTTTCTAAGGGCGCATAAATAATTCAGTGTCGTTACAATGAGGATTCCCCTCTTGTTACACAAAGTCTGCAGCTCCCTTCAACTTCTTTATAACCCATTTAGCCTGATGACTTTATTTTCACTACTCCCTCCTGCTCCTCCAAGCCGAGGTTGGGGTGAGGGTGGGGGCAGGGAGCCTGCCGCCTCTGAACCCCACTATTCACTTCCCCTCCCCTCCCCCAGTGAACCCCAATTATAACGGAGGGGAGCCCAAGCGCTCGAGGACAGCCTACACTCGGCAGCAGGTCCTGGAATTAGAGAAAGAGTTTCATTACAACCGCTACCTGACCCGAAGGCGGAGAATCGAGATCGCCCACTCGCTGTGCCTCTCTGAGAGGCAGATCAAAATCTGGTTCCAGAACCGGCGTATGAAATGGAAGAAGGACCACCGGCTCCCCAACACCAAAGTGAGGTCAGCGCCCCCGGCCGGCGCCGCGCCCAGCGCCCTCTCGGCAGCCACCCCCGGCACTTCTGAAGACCACTCCCAGAGCACCACGCCGCCAGAGCAGCCTCGGGCAGAGGACATCACCAGGTTATAAGACATAACTTACACCCCTGCCCCCGCCCGCGCTCCCTCACACACAAATTGACTCTTATTTATAGAATTTAATATATATATATATTTTGGTTCTTTTTTCTCTCTTCCTCCTGCCTCCTCCCTTGTCAGCTCCAAACAGACGAAACAGATAAACAAACAAGCCCGCGCCCCTTTCCCTTCGCTGTTAAGGACCCCTTTAAGCATGTGGTGTTGTCTTAGCATGGTACCTGCTGGGTTTTGTTTTTTGTTTTTGTTTTTCAAGGCCATTGGGGGGGTATTTATTTTTTAAGGAAAAAAAGCTGCAAAAATTATATATTGCAAGGTGTGATGGTCTGGTTTGGGTGAATTTCAGGGGGAATGAGGGGAAGAAAAAGGAAAGGGAGATTTTTAAGCGGATTCTCATGCCTCTCCTCCGCCTTCCCCCATCTTTCCTTAGGCCTTTTGCATTGAAAATGCACCAGAGGAGGTTAGTGAGGGGGAAGTCATTTTAAGGAGAACAAAGCTATGAAGTTCTTTTGTATTCTCGTGGGGGGGGGTGGGGGAGGGGGGAGGACAACAGACAAAGCTGACTGGAGAGCCTCTGGGAGCTGTGCAGTTTGAGGAGCCAAAAGGAAATCAAAATGAACTTTCAGTTCAGAGGGCAATCCATAGGTAGACGCTCCTACCCCATCGTGCTTATTGTGTTTTCGGACTGAATTTACTTGATTATTGTAAAACTTGCAATAAAGACTTTTAGTGTTGCTGTGAAATGCCCCGTGATCAACAATAAACCAGTGGCTGTGAATCAGTTTCACGTCAGCGTCTGATGGTCTCTCTTTAATCCCCCTGCCTCTGGCCTGGTAACATCCAATAGTTCCCTAAGTTTACTCTGAACAAACACACAAAGCTTAACATTTGACTTCAGGTGCTCAGTGCTTAGTGAAACACCAAGGAAGAGTCTGGGGTGAGGGACTAGGCAGACTCTGGAGGACTTCTCAGAGGAGCTAGACCTGAGGTTCAGTGAGGCTCAACATGGGGTGTGGGGTGCCACACTTTTCCTTAGCCAGACTCAGTCCCTTTTTGATGACTTCTTCGCGTCCCAGCCTCTCTGTCCTTTAGGCTAAATCTGCAGACTAGAAGGCAGGCTAGGAAAAGAAGGAAAAAAGTTTTCCTCTTTCAGGACTTCTTAGAGTAAGACCTCAAGGAAGACTGTCGGTCCTTCCTCAGTTTCCTTCTCCTAAAAGGATGAAGGGTTTGCAGCTGGTTCTGCAGCGGTGAGGTGAACTGTCAGGGTGGCACATCTGTTTGTTTAGCCTTGGGGGAAAGGTTCTGAAGTGGAGGCCAGAGGCCTGTACCCTCTTGCATGGGTAGACCTCAAAGGCTGAGGCCTAGAGTAGTTAGCAATGAAAGGACTTTTACATTTCTCTGGAACTTTTGATCATGATCTGCCAGGTGTTAAGGGAAAATGTTATGAAATTCAAGGACTACCCTCTTCCTACAATCTCCCATGTCCTGGCAGAGCTTGGGGACATTCTGAGCAAGGCTCTATGGTTCTAAGATATATAAATAGACTTTTCTTAGGGGAGAGAAGGTGCACCACCAGGAAAAAAAAAAGAAAGAAAGAAAGAAAGAAAACTGTATTGGCTTATCCAAAGGACCTCAGTTGAGACTGTCAGCCTTTAGAGACCAGGCCCTAAGCTAAGCTTGCCTTTTTTTTTTTCTTTTTTTTTTTTTTTAAAGGAAAGGTTGGGAGAGCAGTTGGGAGCTTTCCCCTAGACGATTTATCTAAGCTTCAGGATGGAGGGCTCTCAGGAGTGGGAGAGGGAGTGGGGTCTGGGCTGGCTTCTACTCTGCATCCTGGAGAGAAAGGCAACAGCAAGCAGAGGAGACACTAAGTTATGAAGATGTATTTGATGTGTTTCAAAGTTCTTTTCTCTTGAACTACTGGGAAGTGGTCTTTGGAACAGCATCTGTGTGTGTCTCTGGAGTTTGGCTGTGTGTTGGGGGGGGGGTCACAATCCTTGAGGTCTCTTTTCTCTTCCCTCAGTAGTAACAGCAAAACACGCTGTCCAAGGTGTGAGGAAGCAGAGGCAATAATTATCTGGAGTTATTTTATTTAATCCGGCAAATTAGGGACCTGATCTGACTGCAGCCCCAATCATCTTGAGGCCATTGCCTTTGGGTTGGAGTGAGGAGAGGTTTGAAAAGAGAGAGGAAAGCCTGAGGAGTAGGCCAGGGTGTCTTTAGCCTGGAAATAAGGTGGATGGAAAGGATGGGGGTATCTTCAGATCCTGCCTGGCTTTGAGAGCCACTACTGCTTGTTATTCCTGAAGGTTCCCCGGGCACTTCCAGAGAGACTCCAGAACTCAGGGAAAGCAGCTTGTAAGGTCAGGGACAGTTCCTTCCCTCTGCAGGCTTCTGTTTCTTTCTTCTTGGGGCACACATAGTCATTGTCTGTGTGTGTGTGTCTGTCCTTTTTGATCTGGAAAGGGGAGAACGTCCCAAATCCACACAATCTTGACAAGCGTAATAAAATCTCTTACACTAGGATTTTTGAGAAGTTGGGTTTCTGACCTCCAGGGATCTCTTCTCCTTTTTCCAAAGCTCTCCTGGGCCCTGACTACCCAGAAAGCCTTCCGTTTACCTGGGCAGGGGTGGGGCATGTGGCTAACCTGGCCTGGGCCCCAAGCCTTCGCAGTCCTGGTCTCAATGCTCCTCAAACTTCCTGGCCTCACTGGGAAGTGGAGGGCAAGGCTTTTATTGAAGTTGAGTAGAGCAGTGGGGAAAGGCTGGGGGGAGGACTCAGCCCAGGTTCACGGGAAGGACACACTGTTTTCTCTCCCATTGCCTTTATATTCAGCAGAGCCTCTGACCTCTCCCCACCCCCATCTCCCACCCTCCTAAGCCCAGTCCTTGCTCAGTTCGTGGCCTCCAGATAGGATGCCCCAGCTTTTGTAGAACTGAGGATTTCTTGTCCAGACTCATGGGAGAGGAAGCTGCTCAAATGCGTGCTAGCCCAGCATTGTATCATCTTCAATAGCTCAGTAAAATGAAGACCTGTGAACTGGGACCCCAATCTTCTCAGATCCTTCTTACCAAGCATCGGGAGATGTCCACAAGTCCCAAACCCCTTCACTGTGTAAGTAACTAGCGCTCAATCTTCTCCGGGGCTACGGGCACAGGTCTAAACTCTGTCTTTCACTAAATTTTTGTTTCAACACCAGTTGTTTGAGAGGGAGGCAAATGGGAGCGTGTGCCACAGAAAGCAAGGCTGGGGCAAAGTCCTGGGCCACTTCGTTTCTCTGGGATCTCCTGCAGTTCGTATGAAGTTTCCTACAGTGCTGAATGTCTCGGTTTTCTTCTGTGGGCTTGCACATTGAAATCCAAAGTGTGTGTGTGTGTGTGTGTGTGTGTGTGTGTGTGTGTGTGTGTGAAGTTTGCCAAAGGGTGGGCTACGGTGCCCTCTGCTAGGGAGGGTTTTTCTGTTTTCGGAAGATTGGGGTCTAGCTCAGAAAAGGCCCCATGACAAGGAGGCACAGTATGCTGGGCACTTCCATGATTTTCTCGGCTTTTTGCCAGGTCCTGGGGTAGCCTGGTCCTGTATTCACAAAGCCACTTCTCTAAGCTTTCCTCAGCTTTTATCTGACACCCCACCTTTGGACAGCTAATTAAAATTAAAATGCCTTTTTTCCTAGAGGCCTCTCCTAGGCTTAGTAAAAGAGATGGAAGATCCCCTAACTCCAGAGGCCACCAAAGCAGATGGAATATTTATCGCCTCTCTGGATGTCATTACCTAAGAATACAATTTTATGAACCTCCTAATCTGTTAGCTTGATTTATCTGGATGGGCAGAAGCCCAAAATAAACATTTGCAGAATTTAGGTGGGAAAAAAATGTCTTTGACTCTCACCAAGCTCCTCATAGAACTGACTACCCTTCTCAGACTGCTTTTTCTGTTCCTGGCATCTCTAATTCCATTTTAATCTTTTTTTCTGTGGTGTGTGGTGGCTGTTTTGGGTGTGCCTCTTGAGAATTAGAAATGGTGAGATGCACTATTTTAACTAGCGACTGGAAGCCGCGCACACCCTACAACCTCCTGGGGGGCTGTTCCCTTCGGGGCTTGGCAAGCTGGCAGAAACCAAGGCCAAAGGCAAAAAGGGTTGACCATAGCCTTCCCAAGCCCGGGGTCCTATCACCCTCCTGTCACTTCTCAGGCCAACCCTTCCCCTCAACCCCAGCTTCACCCTGCTCTTTGGTGTCAGCTCAGCATCTTCTCAGAAACACGAATCCGAATCCTGCAAGCTGGGGGAAAGGCCCAGCTGCCCCTCTTCCCTTCGTTGGGGAAAGGATCAGGAGGGAGAGAGGGTTACAGAGTCCAGTAAAGGGTGCGTTAATTTTAAATGTCCCTCTGTGATTGCAGGACCCTCTAATTTGTTCCATTCTCTGGGTTCTGCTTTTTCTGCCCCAGGGGTGAGGGTGAAGTAGAGGCAGTGCCATCACAGCTCGCCTTCTTTTCCCAGCCCAAGTTAGAGGTTGGGAGAGGAAAGTAGATTTGAATTTGCTGCTGGGGGGGGGGGGGGGGGAACCCGAAAAATCAGGGGGGGGGCACTGCCAAGAAACCAGCCAGGCCCTGGCGTCTTGCCCCCAGCCTCTGGCTGCCGGGGAAGCCCCGCGCAAAAGAATCTGGGGGGGCGGGAGGGAGGGGAGAAGCGACTGTTCCACTTGGGGATGGCAGGAGAGGGCAGTTCTTTTTCTCCGGACCGCCCGAGGGCTGGAGCTGCGGCGACGGGGTAGGGGTGTCTCGGGGAGGAAACAGGGCCAAGCCGGTAAGGTCTGCTCTGGGCTCCAGGCCGCGTCCGCCCGCCCGGGGTGCGGCGCCTTCGCCTAGGTCACGACCCCCACCCCCTGGCTCTAGCTGCGGACAATAGGGAGCAGGATAGGGAGCGAGGGCTGCGGGCCTAGGAGGGGTCAGTGCGGGAACTCCCGAAGTCTACGGTCTCACCCTGTGGAGCCCGGTCTCCTTTCTCTGCCCTGTTAAATCTTCTTTCCCAGCCTCTCCTCTACCTGACGGAAAACTGAGCGGACTCTCAATTACTCCTCTACCAATATGCCAAATAACTACTACCAAATAAGGAGATTTGATTTTTTTGTTTTTTCTTTAAAAAACGGTAGTTTTCACTGAGCAGG